TATACTTAGAGAGCTACATTGAAATTTAAAATAACTTTGCTTTTATTATAAAAATGCTAAGTAGTCCATTCTAATACTGACCTGATATTTTCTGCAGAAAACAATGCCATTGCTGATAATTATTTCTCTTGAAAAAGGCAACTCCAGATAGTAAGCCAACCATCAGTCTTAGTGATCTATTGTTGTCACTTATAGTCTTGTGATACTAAACATTAAAACCTTAGATGATCCAAGCAGTTTCATGAAAGTTTTAGAAATTACTAAAATGCTTTTTGAATATACTGCTTTACAAAGTCATACCTTAAAACAATTTGTAGCTGCAATGATCCATTTCTTTTTTGAGTTCCATAATTATCACCAAAATGTTGGTGCAACATTTGAATAAATTAACATATTTCTCATTGGTTCACGTTCTTGATCATCGTTTTTGGGAAAAATACGCAAAAATTATGCACGCTTATTGTATGAAAAGTAACTAAAGAAAACAGTTAGAGGATTAAAGTGTGAACATCAATGAAATAGGCTTTGTTACAATTACGAAATCTTACTGAAAATAGAATGGTGTTCAGTTTGTGAAGCAGATCAAAATTCTTTTCAAACCCAGTGATTTGTTATCAATCCTTAGTTTACAACCTGAACAAAAACACTGCAGAATTATTTTAAGCCCACAACAGTCTGAATCAAACTACTATACGTATATTCAAGACTTATATTAACACACAAAATCAAAAATAGTTTACCAGGGAACAGGGGCGCAGCGCCCTCATGCCCCCTTAACCTGAGGAGCAGATCCTTTGGTAACCATAAAATTCTGAATGACCAGGGATCACATGTGGCCACAGTCTTCAACTGTGACCTGTCTGATAGTAATTTAGGCCCCAAGGAAGCCATCGCATGCTCCATTTTAGAATTATCAAAAACTTCACACCCTGGTAGAGAGAACCCTATCTCCTTTACTTGGTGGCGTCGCTGAATTGCAGTGCTCCCTCTTGCAGTTTTTTTTAGAAAAACCCCTGGTTTACAAATGCATAATATGCAGGTTTTTATGAAATGCATATATTTTGAAATGCAGGTCATCAATATGACAGTGGACGATATTAAAATTCATAAATTTATGCCTACATGTACATGTAAAAGAAACAAAAAAAAAAAAGATTTCATTAATTATATTAAAAATTGAAAAACTTGATATATCGAAAGTGGAGGTTGTTTATACTCATCATCTTTTATGTACAAAGTATTGCATTTTGCAAAGTCTTGTATATTGCACAGACTGAATGTCTGTCGCAAAAATCAAACAATTTTGAATTATAGCTCAATGTGGAAATAGCAATCTTGGAATATTGCATTGAGATACCATTACTCAAAATTGATCACCATCAAATGTTGAATCCCATGTGATGTTTTGTATATGACGCTATTACCTATGTTTGTTCTGTTATACGTTCAATTTCACTAATGATCACAAAGAACAGAAAATAGTTTCTTCTGTCTGTTTAGTTCTGAAAAAGTCATAAAAAAAGCTACAAATTCTTTGACTTGTGAAATAACAGATAAATTCACCCTGATTACGTCATTGGACAATTTGATTTCAAAGTGACTTTCTATGACGCTGTTTAAATTATTCAACTTATTATTGTATTCGTAAGGCTTTATTACTTTCACTATGCTCCCTTTAAATAGCTTTAAATCTCATTTATGGGTTTGCTTTGAAAAGAACCTTCATATATAAATTACAATATTCAAGACAAAATGAAACTGTTATTTTTCTTGCCTCGGGTGATTACAATAACACACTGTGATAAATTGTACTACATCGTCTGTGTTAAGATATTATGTATATAGGACATAGGTACCTTTTCACATCTCTTGCATGTGTAATTGGTTACCTTGAGGGGGTCAGTGACCCCAGAAAGTCAAAATGATCCAATCTGTGGTCGTGTATAATTAGATTTGTCTATCTGTCATATTCTCTTTCTGTTTGTATAATAGTTTTTGGTATCCATCACAGTCTTAGAGAAGGTAGCTTGCTCGTACATATGGCAGGTGTGTCACCAGCATTGATATGTGTAGATATTCATATTTACGAGCCTCAGTGGTGTTTCCAAGATAATTCTGTAATCCCCTGCTGCTAAACAGATGCGAGTTCATCTCAGTTCACTGTTCGACAGGATTGCATTTTCTCAGCGTTAGATCTTTATTTTCTATCACAATGTTGGGCCAAGTTTTTCTGTAATGCTCTTTAGCTAGGTTAATAATGAAAACTGATGATCCATATAGTGCTTGATAAATTATTCAGTGTTTTATTAACCCTTTGCACAGCCAGGTCAAAATAAACCTTCATAATTTTCTTCAGATTTTTTAAACAATTTTGATCAGGCTATTCAGTCAAAGTCAGTTTGGTTCAAAAAAGTAAATACAAATGTGCAAAATGTTTCCTCCAAATTTTGTGGAAAATAATATTGTGTTCAAACTGGTTAGTTATCTTGTGGTCATGGATGCTCTCATTTAACATTTTTTTTTCAAGGATGTTGATTAAAGGGCAGTGGTTGTCACGCAGCACGTGTTCGAATTCATGTAAATAAACAATGTATTTTACACACGTTGTGTACTTCACTATGAGTTCCATATCGAACAGGACATGGCATGGCCACCACCGCCATATAAACTACGGTAGTAATAGTGGTTTGACGAATCAGTTTACTGCTTTTACCACCTATTTCCAGTTTTGTAAGTCACTAAGACATTCCAGTCTGAGTACCTTTCATCTGTAAAGAACATTACCATAGAAACTAGTGCTTAGAAGTGACTCGTCCATTTCATGGCAATTAACCACAAACTAAAAAAGAAAGAAATACTTGCCTTGAGCACAAGAGGGCAGTTTGTTACTAGAGGGCGCTATGATAAATACAAATTTTCTTCTCCTATTCAAATTTCACTTTACACCACAAACAAAAATTGCTAGAAAGTGATTTCAGATAAATTCCATTAAAACATGACTGAGAGAAAAATTACAAATGCGCTATAAATTGATTCATTATTTGCACTTACTTTGTTTATATTCACTGATGGTTGCAAATTGTAGTGCAAGTTTGTAGGAGTGGTCGATACTGTGCCATATTCATCTAAATATTCAAGACTTTATGAATAAATAATTTCCTCCTCTCTTCTGGGAATGATATGATAAGATTAAGCCGATGAGTTCTAGTTGTTTATATATATGTAAATAAAAGGCTTCATAGTATAGTGAATTATTTATTAACTGTTCCACTCAAAAATGAAAACTCTTGTGTAAAGCGACAGTTTCTAGAGGGTAAAATGTTTGTAACAAGTATGCATCAAAACATTCATCAGACTGTTCAAATGCTTCCTTTGTGCTTGAAAATAAAATGAGTGGTCAGACTAGAACCATGCAGATAGCTAGGAGTTTGGAATACATAATATCAATGTGCTTCTTGACAGATTACCACAAATTCTCGCTGCAATCAACAACTTATCTATCTTTCAACATCAGATTTTACTGCTAAAAAAGTATGGAGAATAAAATCAAAAGATTAGTAAGAGTAATTTTTGGTCTGTATTAATTTCTTGGATCAAATAAGTGAGAAAACAACCACTTACTTTTTTCTGTACATTCATCTATTAAAATAAACGCTTCCCCCTCACATAGAATCCTGCCATCCCCTCCTTCATTTTAGAATAGTCTTTACTTCCTGTCATGCTGAAGGGATGCTGCTTTAAAGGGTGAAATTGTTCATCACTTTGTGTTTGTAGGTTGGCATGCAGCTGCCATACCTTCACAATGCCAAGTGACAAAAAGGGCATTATACACTTCCTGTGTAAATGATGTTTGCTTCACTCACTGGTTTATTGATACCGTTTTTAGACTCCTATTGTTCATGTGTACCTGTCTATCTCACTTAAAAGGAAATACAAGATAGTCTTCCAAGTGCTGTAACAACTATGTTTGCATCTTACTTGAGGTGTCTAAATGGTTATTGACATCTCATTTCATAGTTAGGGAACACCTATAAAACTAATGTGAGGATATATGGGAATAGCTTTGTATGTCAAGGAAGGCTGCACTCTGAAATATTGTACATCAAGGAGGGCATCTCTCTGAAATAGCATTGTACATCAAGGAGGGCATCTCTCTGAAATATTGTACATCAAGGAGGGCATCTCTCTGAAATATTGTACATCAAGGAGGGCATCTCTCTGAAATATTGTACATCAAGGAGGGCATCTCTCTGAAATATTGTACATCAAGGAGGGCATCACTCTGAAATATTGTACATCAAGGAGGGCATCTCTGAAATATTGTACATCAAGGAGGGCTGCACTCTGAAATAACATTGTACATCAAGGAGGGCATCTCTCTGAAATATTGTACATCAAGGAGGGCATCTCTCTGAAATAGCATTGTACATCAAGGAGGGCATCTCTCTGAAATATTGTACATCAAGGAGGGCATCTCTCTGAAATATTGTACATCAAGGAGGGCATCTCTCTGAAATATTGTACATCAAGGAGGGCATCTCTCTGAAATATTGTACATCAAGGAGGGCATCACTCTGAAATATTGTACATCAAGGAGGGCATCTCTGAAATATTGTACATCA